ATAAACAGATTTTGAAAAAAAAAATTCCTTTATTGTTGTCAACATTAATCTTAAAACTCTCATCCTCCACCTTTTTATCCAATCCTCTATTTTAATTTCTATCTTTAAATCATTTTCCCAAATTAATTTCAAACCTTCTGTTCCCCATTCTTTTCCCTCTTGTTCCAAAATTATATATTTTACTTACTATTCCCTTCAACGTTGTATATTGCGTATCTTCATCTTACTGTGTTGAAGTACTCTTAAAACTCTCATCCTCCACATTTTTATCCAATCCTCTATTTTAATTTATATCTTTAAATCATTTTCCCAAATTAATTTCAAACCTTCTGTTCCCCATTCTTTTCCCTCTTGTTCCAAAATTATATATTTTACTTACTATTCCCTTCAATGTTGTATATTGCATATCTTCATCTTATTCAGTGTTGAAGTACGTAGCTCCAAATAAATAACTCCCTTACCTGTCATAACATCTTGCCAGTGTTTAGGCTTGGTCTGACAATTAACTGTTTCTCAGTTGGCCAAGACTCTCAGCCTGGTGGTCCTGCTTGTGACATCATCTATGACATCATAATGTCCATGTTTAAACTTAGCTCAGGCTATCTTTCAAATTAGTTTGAAATTAGCTCTGCAGTTTTTAGATTCAATTAAGTGCTACAAAAAAAGCACCAAAAAGTTTGGGATTAAAGAATACAGCTCTTGAAATCTTGATAGACTATCTCTATGTCCCTGTTTAAACTTAGCTCAGGCTATCTTTCAAATTAGTTTGAAATTAGCTCTGCAGTTTTTAGATTCAATTAAGTGCTACAAAAAAAGCACCAAAAAGTTTGGGATTAAAGAATACAGCTCTTGAAATCTTGATAGACTATGTCCCCTAGAGGCCCATTTGCGGTCTGGAACTGTCCTTCATTTCCAGCACTTCCCTTCACTTGTGCCTATATTACCATTTGGGTGGTTGTGTTTGGGAAACAACAGACTGATCTTGGGAATACCCCAGTATACATTTAAAGAAGCAGTGATCTTGATCAAAATGTTGTTTTTTGTTTTATTTTTTTGTGGAAATACCCATTGTTAATGAGGCTGAAGCACTGGGAACATGGGAAGTGGTTAGCTAGATATGGGCAGAAACTATTCCAAGATGACTAACGCATCCCGGGGTGATTGTTTTTTCCTCCTTAGTGACTGTATACAACAGCCAACAAATACTGGACATTGTGTTTATCCTGCGTGTTCTTAGGCTCATAAGAATTATCGACAGTATACAAAGGTAAAAGCACTTTTGCTGTTTTTTGATGGTGCTACAACAGCTGTACGGGCACACCGATTGAGATGAGTTAGGTTGAGTATGAATTGTATAAGTGACCCCATGGTGTCATGAAAAGCCAGGACATATTAACAGTAGAAACGATGGCAACATCTGCCAGCACAGACTTGAGTTCTGTGTTCTACCATCCTCATGATATTGGGGGTGGTGTGGGGAGCACAGGTATAGACTTTTACAGACATAATATTTGGGGGTGGTGTGGGGAGCACAGGTATAGGCTTTTACAGATATAATATACATTATATTTGCGAAGGCTTTCATGTCCGGGATCTAATGGTTGTTCTGGGTTTTTCAGGCTCTTTGGCTATGTTCTGAAGGTTGTTCTTCCTGACGTTTCATGAGTCTCTGTGAACAGTGCTGTCCTCTGAAGATGCCGGCCACAGAGACTGGTGAAACATCAGTCACTTTAGAACACGGCCAAAGAGCCCGAAAAACCCAGAACAACCATAATATACATTGTTGAGCTATTTTTATTCCAGTGCAAAATAATATGGGATGACTCTTTCTTGAATGGGTCATCATGACCCATTCATAACTTTATGAAAGACCCAACCCGATAGGGTTGAAAGCTGTTCTGTCAATTGGGTTCTATTTTCCTGTTTTCATTTTGGGTGTTCCCTTGGGAGGATAGCTGTGCATGTGAAGGAATAAAGGGAGGGGATCAGATGGTGATAATGTAATGGCCAAGAAATAAGAGCAATGTGGTATTACATCTTGAAGACACACCCATTCCTGGACCTTTAGAAAGCTTTGCCTACTTCCACATTTCCCATCTACCCACCAAAAAAAAATGTTATAACCCTTGGAAGATGTTTTTTAACTGAAAAAACTCCTTTGGTGCCCATTAGTTTTCTTTTTTTAACAAATTAAAAATTGGCAGGGATGGCAGTGGAGCCTAAAAATACAGTATAGCAGGTGGGGATTTTTCAGCAATAAAGTGTGCAAAGCGTGCTATGGGATTTTTCAGCAATAAAGTGTGCAAAGCATACTGCTTATATATCGGCCCATAGTGCTTAAAGCACTCTCTGGGTGGTTTACAAGTTAATTATGCAGGCTACGCATTGCCGCTTAGTTAATTATGCAGGCTACGCATTGCTGCTTCCCTGAGTTGGGTACTCATTTTACCGACTTTTGAAAAATGGAAGCCTGAATGAACCTTGAGCCGGCTACCTGAGACTGAACCCAGATTGTGAGCAGAGTTTTGGCTGCAGGACTGCAGTTTAACCACTGCACCACGAGGTTTAATTTAAAAAATAGAGGTTGGTGGAGGGACACACATTGATCATCTCTCTTCTATGGTGAGTGGAAGTGCCTAGTCTCGTTTTTGAACAGCTTGCTAGGTATTTCCTTCCGAAGCCCACCTATCTCTCCCATGGCGTTCTTATGCACTGTTTCCTCCTAGGTTTCGTGTCATCATGAACACACTAGTAAACATCATACCGACAATGCTAACCTTTGGTGGGTTGGCTCTGGTGAGCAGTGTTTTACATTTTAGTCATTCCTCTCCGTTTCTTCCCTACATTTTTGTTGATTGGGAAGGGACCTCAGAACACAAAGCTTGCATTCAAAAGGCCCACAACTGAAGCCTTGGCATCATTTATACAAAATGGAGGGGGGCGGCAAGAAGTGACGGCGAACACCCTTATTGAAGAACCTGGAGAACCTGCTAGCGAGTTTAGAGTGGACAAAATATTTTTGTTTTGTTCTGCCTGTTGGGGGGACCCTCGTGGCCAGACGAGCAATGAATAAATGTTTCCAGAAAGTGAGAAAAGAAGTGCAGGAGGATCCCCATATCTGTGGGATCAGTGTCCGCTGATTCACTTATTAAAAGAAAAATCCTAGTAATACATATTTCTAAATATGAAGTTACCAGAACTGGCCACTAAAGGGAGCCAGAGACTATGCAGTGTAAGGCATTCACCATTGAAATAGTGTTCCTTGTTATCCACATTTTTCAGCATCTACGGGGGGCTTGGAACTGATCCGCCACAGCTATGGTGGTCCTGCTGTATAATGTGAGTATTGCTCTCTGACAAGTAGCTTCCTCCTCTTTAGGTGGTGTATTACATGTTTTCCATTGTTGGGATGGAGATCTTTAAAGGGAAGGTCCGGTTCTTTACTGGAAACGCCACTGCAAAGGAGGCCCTGTACTGCGGGAATCCTGCTTTGAAGGATACTGCTTTTGCCCGAGCCAGATATTGCAAGAATAACTTCAATGACATTGCCTCATCTTTCATTGTCCTTATGGAATTAACGGTGGTCAACCAGTGGCATGATATCCTTTGTGAGCCAAGCAGTGTGTAAAAAGAAAAAAAAATGAAAATGTTGCTTTGTGAAGGAACCAAATTAATGTCAAGGCTTGGACTGCCTCTTTTGATGAAACTGCACACTCGCATATTCTGTATCCCAAGAACATAAAATATACTTTTATATACTGATTGTTTTTTGTTTTTAAATATGGTCTTTAAATGCTGTAAACTGTCTTGGGTCCTTTTTTTAAAGGAGAAAGGTGGGGTAAAAATAAAAATAAATAAAAGTTGCTTCCTTCCAGGGCAAAAGGTCTGATGACCAAAACAAATGGTAGTTGAAGAAGTTCAAAGGAGAAAGGTGGGGTAAAAATAAAAAAAAGTTGCTTCCTTCCAGGGCAAAAGGTTTGATGACCAAAAAAAATGGTAGTTGAAGAAGTTCACTGATCAGCAACAGTTTCTAAGTTTCAGTTTTAGGACTTTCCACCACACAGACCTAACGTGGCTAGTTTTTCTCAGGACACCTTGTGGGATGAGGGATCTTTGTACATACTAGAAACCTCTGTATTGTCTCCAAACCACTGGTGCTAAACATCATTGGAAAAATAACATTGTAATCAAATGGGTGTTGAAACGTTAAGTCTGATCAACACTGATTTACAGTATCAGTATCCGGTGGAAATATAAGGCTGGTGTACATTGCACAGATTCTGCATGGATTTCTTCTGTGTTGACTTTGTGTTTACACCATGGCCATCTTTGAACAGGTTGGAATTTGCTATCTAAATGAGATGTTTCTTTCTCTTGGCCGGAAAGAACAAAGATCAGCTTGACTGCAAACAGTGTCAGCCTACGTATATGTGTGCTGAGCCCTCCTTCCCTTGAAAATAATTCATTCTTACCTGGATAGCGTCAAAGGAGGGTGGAGCGGTTTCATCGCAAGCTTTATCTGTCTTCTATACCATACATATGACTCATTCTTTGTGTGTGTTGTATAAAGTAGGTAATATATGCACTCTCTAGATCAGGGGTTCCCACCCTTGGGTAACCCAGATGTTCTTGAACTAAAGGTCTCCTTCCCTTGAAAATAATTCATTCTTACCTGGATAGCGTCAAAGGAGGGTGGAGCGGTTTCATCGCAAGCTTTATCTGTCTTCTATACCATACATATGACTCATTCTTTGTGTGTGTTGTATAAAGTAGGTAAAATATGCACTCTCTAGATCAGGGGTTCCCACCCTTGGGTAACCCAGATGTTCTTGAACTAAAAGTCTCCAAAGCCTTCACCAATAGTTGTGCTGGCCAGACTTTCTGGGAGTTGCAGTTCCAATAACATCTGGAAACCCAAGGTTGGGAACCACTGCTCTATATTGTTACGGTGCTGGCCAGGCTTTCTGGGAGTTGCAGTTCCAATACCATCTGGAAACCCAAGGTTGGGAACCCCTGCTCTAGCTATAGTTATTGTTACATCTGGTCAAATCACATCTGACTTATGGTGGCCCTAATATGGTTTGAAAAGTATATAAGATACTAAGGAGTGGGTTTACCGGTGCCAATGCTCAGAGAGTTTCCATGGCTGAGCAGGGATTTGAATCCAGGCCTCTTCAATTTTAGGCTGGCATTCATACCTACTACACAGCACTATAGATAGCTATAGAGATCTATAACAATATATCCGTATCAGTGGTTTCCCAGCCTTGGGTAATCTAAATGTTCTTGGAACTGCAGCCTAGCTATAGAGATCTATAACAATATATCCGCATCAGTGGTTTCCCAGCCTTGGGTAATCCAGATGTTCTTGGACTGCAGCGTCCAGAAACCCCGACCAGCACAGCTGGTGGTGAAGGCTTCTGGGAATTGCAGTCCAAGAACACTGGGATTAAACAAGACTGGGAACTGCTGGCCTAGATCTTTTGATATATGCACATACACACAAATCAGGAGCTGTGATAGCTGAGTTAGAAGGGGCTAATGAGAAGCATTGTTGCGCATTCCCATCAGGCCTTTTAGATCCAACATCATCAGGGAATATCCCATCCTGTGACTATCTAGTTTGTTAGGTGGTTTATTTCAATGGATAGGCATAAGCAAGGTTTTGGAATGAGCGAGACCTTAATGAATAGGTTTAGTTGTTCAATGTGCAAAACACAATTGCATCTTTTGTAGTCCTTAACATTCTGACTCCTTGCCAGTGGATTTGCCCATGTGACTCACCAGGCAGCAAAGCTGTACTTCATCACCTTTCACATTGTCGTCGTTATCATGATTATTAAGTAAGTCTAATACGGTGCCAGTGCTGTTCCCTGACTGGTGCAGAGAGGGACTCCTGTCTTTTGTTTTTTGATGCTCCCAAACAGTGTATGTTTCCACTTGCAGGGAAGGTAACAATTTCCATCTCTTGAAATAATCATCTGTTAGGGGATTATAGTCATCTAGAATTTGATAGATTGCTTGCAGAGCTTGGAAAACAGTTTTTACAGCCTTCCAGTCTCCCAGCCACCACAGTTATTGGGTATGCTGGCTAAGGGATTCCAAGAGTTGATCTCTCCATAACAAACAAAAAAGATATCCCCATGAATTATAGCTTGCATGATAGTTGTTGTTGCTAAAAGCATTAGTCAGACAAATAATCTGATATGGGCCAAAATCCTGTTGCACTGCTCCATCTGCTCTGCCGTCATTGGTTAAATAACATCAGTGATTAAAGACTTACTTTTTTTTATTTTGGAGTGTGCATTGCTCACATGCAATGAGACAAAGTTGCATGTACCTTGAATTTGAAAAGGAAGTATTTAATCATTGGGAGTCTGCTGCTGCTGATGGCATCATTCCTGTTGTAGAGGCAGAACCTACCCAGCAGGACTTCACCCGTACTGTAAAGTACCATATATTCTTATTTATGCTGAAATCATAGCTCAATCTATTTGAAAGAATGCCCTGTTAATTTTTAATACACCAACCACAGGGATTAAGGTGTAGTATAAATGTGCAGTTCCTTTTGTTCTAGATCAGGATGAGCAATGTGCCACTTTCTAGATGGACCACATGTTGCAACATTCCTGATCTTTTGCTATATTAATTAGGACTGATGGCGGCATCAGAAGAAGATCACTCTGAGGACCACACTGTGTCCAGCCTGTTCGTAGATCAAGAAGTTGTCCAAGTCTTCATAGGGACAGTTTAATATATATAAGGGTAGTTGTGTGTGCCAGGAATTCTTTATGATGTATAACTGCATACTTTCATACCAGTTGCTATTTAAATAGATAAGAAAAGGAGAAAGTGTGTGGAATGAGCAATGTCATGTGCAAACTCTGGTGGTGTACTTTATTTTTTAGCATCTTTATAGCATTCATTCTGGAAGCTTTCTTTGTGGAGTATTCTCTCGAGAAGAGTGAAGTAGAGACCGCCATTGAGAAAAAAATTCAAGAACTTGGTGTAGGGATCCAAGAGTAAGTAAGCCTGTTTGCCCTTTTTTTCATCCCATGTATGGACACAAAGCTGCAAACTCCCAGATGTGGCCCACCAAATTATGCAAGGTTGGGACAATGAGATTCATATCTTTTGATGTTCCTTTTTGCAACCCAGGAAGAGAAGCAAACTCTTAATTTGACCCACACAAATTGTATGGGAAGCTGGGAGCTGAACTTGGCCCTATGTACTAACATGTGGATAGGTTTGTGTGCATTTTTAAAAAGCAAATTTATCACAGGGTACTGGGTACAGATGCTGTCTCGCACACGTTAACTTCCTGACACTTGATGAAGTGGCCCGGTATGGCCCAGGAGAATCAAGCAAGAAATATGAGTGAAATCTCAGCATCAACTAGCCAAAGGAACATCCTAGTTTCCCTTTAAGCAAGTGATGGAGAAATTACAGTGGTGCCTCGCAAGACTTAACACCTCGCGGAAGTGATGGAGAAATTACAGTGGTGCCTCGCGGGACGAAAAACCTGCACGACGAATGGTTTTTGCTATCGCTATGGTGTCTTGTAAGATCGCTTCTTCTATGGCTGTGCTTTGCAAGACAATTCTTTTTTCAAGACCGATGCCTCGCAAGCTGAAAAAAAATTCATTCGTCTTGCGAGGTTCCCATAGGAAAGCTATGGGAAAATGCTTTTTGCAAGACAACTTTTTTCCAAGACAGCGCTACTCACGGAACAAATTAGATTCGTCTTGAGAAGCACCATTGTATAGCCTGAAGGCTATTCTTGTACCCTCTAGCCTTTTTTCACACACACACACAAAATTCCATTGTCTAGTTCCTAGAAGCTTCAGTAATTTACCTTTTAGCTAATTGAGAAGGTGGTTGCAGTCTATCAGTTTTGTTATACTGTCCAGCATGGAATTTGATCTTCAATAAAACCTATTATAAAAGCATTTGAAATGCAGGGATGCAGATTCGAATCACAAGACACTCAAGTTGGACTTAAATCACAATGGTAACTCAACTCACAACTCAGAACCCACCCACCCTCTCCCTTTTTTTTCTGGGGAAAACTTGTTTTTAATAGGGGCTCGGGCCTCTAGACTTGGTACCAAAGACTGGAACTCGGACCCAAAGACTTGCGAACATCCCTTTTGAAATGTGAATTTATTGCAGGAGGGTAAGAGGCTTTTGAATGGAGAAGGTGACCAACCAAGAGGTACGAAGGTTAATAAGGCCAAGAAATCATAAAACACATAAAGTGCAAGAAGCTGGAATACTTCAGTCATGTTACAAGAAATAGATTGTTACAGCTGATCATTCAAGGTGAAGTAAATGTGAGAAAATAAAGAACACCATATTGTTTGTTTTGCTTTTTGAGACTGTTTTGGATGTAGGCCAGCATCATTGTTTAGAGCTGTCACTGCCAGAATCAAGATAATCACAATAGTGTTTAGCTTCCATTAGGAAAGTGATGAAAAGTTATGTTCTTGTGTATTTTAAATGCCTTTTGTTGTTTTTAAGGGATGAACTGCTAGATGGTACACTGTTAGACAACATGGAAACTAGTGAAAATGATATTGGAGGTGGAGATGGAATAACAGGGAAGAAACCTAAAGGACTGATGTTTAAAATTGCTTCCAAAAGTGAGTGTACAGTCAAGAAACTGTAGACATAGATATGTTATATGTTGCTGAATTTGTGGAAGACCACTTGAGTGTTTTCTTGAGACGGGTGTACTTTCTTCAAATGGAGATAAACCACTATTCTACAGCCTTGGTAAATCCGAAAAGCTTGAGAAATTTACTTTTTTTGAACGATAACTCCCATAACCCTCCAGTCAAAAGGGCCAGTTTCTTGCAGTTGTGGTCCAAAAAGTAGTTTTTCCATGTAAAATCACTATGTTCTGCAAGGGACAGGATTGTGTGTAGGAGACAGCATAAGAGGTACCTGTTTTATTTGGTAAAGCTTCTTGTTTCACAATCCAAATTAGTGCTTTTGCAACATTATCGCACAAAGTGTGTTGCACAGAACACTAGTCCGTCTCGTTTTATTTGGTAAAGCTTCTTGTTTCACACAATCCAAATTAGTGCTTTTGTAACATTATTGCACAAAACGTGTTGCACAGAACACTAGTCCGTCTCTTTAACAGTGGCATGGCTGTTCCAAGACATTTTAAGGCCTGAGGTAATGAATGAGGTGCTGATGACTGCCCTTCTCATTCCATGTACAAAAGCTGACGCGCCGTTTGAATCTTGCCTCAGCACTGGCGGCAGACCTGCATTTTCTGCCTCCTTGAACACAGGAAGCTCATTTATAGGGCACAGGACAGGTTACCCAACACATAATACTAGCTCTTCTAATATGAGGCTACAGCCCACAACCTCCCAACTTTGGTTCGCTTACAAGAAGCAGCCATGACACTTTGTCCAAAGGTTGGGCAGGCCCTCAAAAAAGGAAAAGCTAAATGCGGATGTGATCACCAGGTGCTCTTCCTACATCATCTGTACAAGTAGCCACATATAGCGAACATTTTCTCAGGGATTATGGATTTCTATTATTTTCTTCCTCTTATTTTTTTTAATTACCAGAAATGGTTTAAATCCCGTTCCTCTACTTAAGTGAGGCCAAAGCCAGAACTTGGATACGTCAGTAGGAAAAAAAGATGTAATATACTTTTAATTTTAAACCAATCAGCAGCTAGTCAGAGCAGAGATGGGAGGGCATTTCAGCTGTTCTGGGCAACAAGAGGATAAAATTAAACAAACAAATAAGGAAAATCAATAATCCCACAGTGATTTATCTTGAGACATCTCTTACTCATTGACTGCTTTACTGACAGATCCACTGACAAATATGCCTTGCTAGTGCACATTTCTCTGTGGAGAAATGCCATTTTGTGCTTCTTCTTCTTCTTTTGATGCTAGTGCACATTTCTCTGTGGAGAAATGTCATTTTGTGCTTCTTCTTCTTTTGGTTTTGGTTCCAGGATACCGGACTGTTGACGCTTTACTTCAACGCATGTTTGAAGCGGAAATACCTCCTGAGGAAGAAGGGCCTTCACTGGATGAGATCTTGAATCTTTCCCCGAATGACAGCTACCCAAAAAACCCAACCTTAGACAGTGCTGCTTAATACAAAGAATGAAAGGAAACAACAGGAAACGCCTCAGAGACGGTAGCTTTTCCTTTTTCAGACTTCTGTGGTTCACTAAACGGCCATCTTTGGAGCTGCCACTGGGATCCTCTACCACTTGCAACTAAGAGGTCTTTGGTGTTCTGCTTGCCGATCCTTCCCTCCAGCGACCCAAACATTCCACAGTCATCAGTATTTTTTTAAAGAAAAATTCCACCATGTATATGTGAAAAGTCTTATTTTTATAAATGGAAAACCATATCATATGTGCCTAAAATACTTGACTTTATCAATAGCCAGTTACACATCTAGCATGCTACCTAAATGCATAGTATTAAAACTTGCAGACAAAAAAATCTTGTATTTAAAATTGTAATCCAGATTCTTGTGTACAGTGAAGCTTTCTTGGATGCGCTATTAAGCGAGATGGGAATGGGAGTAATAAATATATGAAGACCAATTCATCTTTCATGAATGCTAGTCAAGGTGTGTGTGTGGAGGGGGGAACTCATTTGTCTCCTGAACTGGTTTTACAAATCTTGCATTTTGGCACAAACTGATATTAAACTAGTGAGAGTATTTCAAAGACTTTATTATCTAGACTAGAGATGGGGATGACTTGCCATTTTGGCAATTCGTCCTACTTTGTGATCTGTCAAAGTTGATGAATCATGAAGCATGAAGCTCCCCACATGAACCGACGAAGCGTGAATTTATTCGTTGATTTGTGGGGGGTCTAAAAAAAAAAACTGACTCCCCCTGCCCCTACTATAATCACTGCTGCGTTCTCCAGCTGGCCTCCCCCACTATGGCCTGCAGTAAGAGACATTGGCTGCCCTTTGCAAAGATGGCAGATGCAGCTTCATAGAGATGGGGATGACTTGCCATTTTGGCAATTCGTCCTACTTTGTGATCTGTCAAAGTTGATGAATCACAAAGCATGAAGCTCCCCACATGAACCGATGAAGCGTGAATTTATTCATTGATTTGTGGGGGGTCTAAAAAAAACCTGACTCCCCCTGCCATCTTTGCAAAGGGCAGCCAATGTCCCTTACTGTAGGCCGTAGTGGCAGAGGCCACTGCAGCGGGCGGTGATGGATGGTGGCAGGGCTAAGGTAGGGAGCAGAAGGGGGCGGGGGCTTTGCAAAGGGCAGCCAATGTCCCTTACTATAGGCCATAGTGGCGGCGGCCACTGCAGCGGGCGGCGATGGATGGTGGCAGCGCTAAGGTAGGGAGCGGAAGAGGGCGGGGAATAGGGTGTGGGTGGCTGCCTATCAGCCCTCTGATCAGTGGGCTCAAAGGCAGAATGGGAAAGCCATAGGAAGAGAGGGAAAGCTAGTATTCCCTCTCTTTGTATGGGGGAACGAATAAAAATGGGGAAATATTCATCCTTTCATTCATTGGGGTCTCTGGAACTGACAAATATGAAGGGATGAATATTTAACAAATCAGCAATTTCTGACGAATATTGCGATTCATTATTTTATTCATTTTAACGTGTTACTGTAGTCTACCTGAGGGTCATTTGGCTAAAAGGTAAGGTGGAAATCTTCCAAATGTACACATTAAAATTTATAGGAGCCCTGCAAATATCGCAGATGTTTAAAGCTGCGAGACCCATCAACGCCAGTTGAACAGATCACATCCGCCAATGTTTCAGAGGTGGAAGAAGAATCTCAGTATCAAAAACAACACTACAGTATCTTGCATTAAATATTGCAGAACGGTCTCCAATGTTTCAGAGGTGGAAGAAGAATCTCTCAATATCAAAAACAACACTATCTTGCATTAAATATTGCAGAACGATCTAGTGTACACGATTTGCATTTGCTGACAATGGCTTCACCAGTTTAAGAGCAAAATCAACATTCTGATTTGATTAATGCCATGTTGGAGGGAGATTTACTTATTTTATTTCTGGCTTCTTGAATCTCTGCCTATGTTTGATCCTAAATGAATTTCAGTTTCAGCATTTTCTAAATGTACTTTGGGGCTCTTCCCCCCCCGCCCATAAAGTTCAGAAATGTAACATTAGGAGGAGACAAAGACCACGGATATCTTAAATTCTAATGCGCATAAGTGGGTCTGTTCAAGCATCCATATAAAAATGCAATGTTGTTCCACAACGATGGGATAGAATCAAAACATGCTTCTTATTGTAATGTGAGAAAAAGGAAGTTTTCTACTGTAAGGCACTGTTAATTTCCCCCACTATGTACTGAAAACAAGGTTTTGTTCTTGCTCCCAGAAACCTGAAAAATAGCCCCAATGGTTCAATACTAGCAGTATTCAAGTATCCTGTGGCCCCCAAATATAGAGGTAGTGATTTAAGAGAGACCAGGAAATTGAGGACAGTGAAGGCTGTGAAATAAGGCACCATTAACTTAAATCCTCTTGTCAAATCTGATCTTACATTTTCATTCCACGCCCCACTGTTTTCAGTGGGATTATTTAATCCTAGTAATCTCTGCACAAAATTTAAGCTTTCATTTATGACTTTCTAACTAGATTGGAGGCCTCTAATCATCATTTTAGTAATCTAATCAGTAGTTCTCAGCCTTTACCTTTCAGATGTGTTGGCCATCTGTTGGCTCCCACATGTGGGCCTCTAATCATCATTTTAGTAATCTAATCTAATCAATAGTTCTCAGCCTTCACCTTTCATATGTGTTGGCCATCTGTTGGCTCCCACATGTGGGAGATGGAAATCCAAAATGACTGGGAGCAGCAAAGGCTCAGAACCGCTGGGCTAGGAAAAGATCTCCCTCTAAAGACTTTTGTTTTGGTTTAGTCCAGACAAGCTATCCCCAAGTTAGCATCCTCCAAATGAACCAAAGTATACTTCTTCCAGTATCTAGCAACAAGGTCAGCTACGTAGAAGGCATGTGGATAAGGAAGACTTGTCTCTAGCCTGGATTTCTGCCTCTCTTAAAAGACCACCAGTGCAAATGCTGACAGAGCAGATGATCAGAAAAATGACAGTGAGGATCAAAACCCTTCAAAAGATGCGTAGCTATGGCTCCTATAGGCGAGGCCTTCTCATCATGGGGCCAACAACCTCCCTCAAAGATGCTCATATTCTCCAAGATGGGAAAGAGACAGAGCTTCAGATCAGCACTTCCCCCAAACACCAGGTAATCCATACATTATTGGGGTAGAGTCAGGTGTACGGCAGCACCTTCACCTTACAAGACTAATTCTGCCATGCACATGACCCCAGTGAGGTATGGAATACCAGAATATGCAACCCCCCCGCTCTATTTCATATATTCTGTAATTTCTTTTCAAACTTCATTTTTATAGTGCCTTTCAACTCTAGTACAGCCCAGTTGTTTTATTTTTTAAAAAACAAAACATTAAGGCATCCATTAAAGCAACAACCAAAAAAAAGCCATGCCAACCTGTACAGCAGTCATTAGATAGTATCTTAAGTTTGTAAAACCTACGGAAGAAATTTTGTCTCCAGAATTGCTTGCATCCGTTTCCTTTTCGAAAGCAGTCTCGGAATCCAAGATCTACTTTCGTGAACGCTTATTTTCAACGAGCAGCACGGCCAGCCTGTTCCGAAGAGCGGTTATTTTGTTGGCGTACGTGCTCACAAAGACGTCTCTCAGTCTGCTTCGTAAATCTCCCAAAGCAGGCAAGTGGTTACAATCTTGTATGTTCAGTAAGGTGAAGAAGAAGTCAGTCCAAACTTCTGCATTAGGGATCCTGAAAGAATAACCACAGAAGAAATAAAGATTCTGCCTCAGCAGTGACCGTCTTTAATGGATCCAAGGGCTATTTTGAGCCCCGAGAGGGGATAGTTTGCTGCATTGCTGAATTTGCTGCTGAAATTCAGCAACATGGTGATGAAAAGGCAACATCTGAATGAGGCACATAAGATCAGTCTTGATCTATTTACTCTAACATATTCAACTCTGGCTAGAGATGGGCATGAATCGGGTACCGGTTCCATACAAAGCAGTCGGTGTGGTACCACATGGACCCTCCCCCACCCCACCCAGGCTAGCCCATTCACCATCCGATGGTTATCAGCTACCCCATACCGGAAGGAGCTCAGGTTGCCCTTCCCTGCCTCCTCTGGCAAGAAGGCGGGACAGAGATTCTCCCTGTGCAGCTGATGAGTGGTTGGCTGCTGGTGGAGGCGGGGAAGGGCAGCCTGCCCGGACTGGATCTCCACCAGAGAAGGAAGGCCCCGGTGGTGCACAACAGATAGTGAGTGGGCCAGCCGGCCTGGGGGTTGGGGAAAAGTTCGGGCAGCACCTAAAGTGCCACACTGACAGCTTTGTATGAAGCAGCATGACTCAATTTGTGCCCATCTCTAGCTGACCGGCAGCACCACAGCACTGGAGACAATAACATTATTTTCAAGCTCTGACTGGAGATGTCATGGTTGAATCTTGAAGCTGTCTGCATGCAAAACAGTTTTATCTCTCAACATTGTTTCTCCTGGCATGGGATTTTCAGGTTTCGTTATTTTTTACAGCTACTAGAACTCATCAGGAATTCTATGAGAACTCTGGTTGCTTCAGCCAAGAAATCCAGGTTCTTAGAGGAGTTTCAGGACACACCTGCTCCTTGCCAACATTCTCTGTGCAGCAACGGCTACTAAGCTAGCTTCCACAGAGCCCAGGAACATGTGGAGCTGCAAAGCATGAGGGGACTGAAGATGCACCCCCTACAGAGGTTAATTCACAGAGAGTACCATCTAGTTATTCCTACATTTTGGTGGAGACTCTAGTTTGGTACGGAGAACCTCCTTAACATGCTGCTCTGCAACATTTTGTTCTTTGCTGGAGGCTATATTAATGCCCCAGATCATCAGCACTTAAAATTCTGGGCCAGAAAACCTTGGGAGTTCCTTTGAATCAGTGACTCTTCAAGTAAGAACAGTTGATAGCAAACAAACAAACAAACAAACAAACAAACAAACAAACAAACAGCTGCCTAGGAAGGTAGCTTGTCGACCACCACCAAGCTGCCGCAGCTGAAGACTACTCAATATTCTAGGCAGCACGTTTGGCCCACATGGCTCAACTGTGATGGTCAGTAAACTTTGGCAATATCCAATGTGAACCCCAGAGCATCACCCCAGAATCCTCTGCATGCGCGAGACTTTTAGGGCAGATGCAACCTATTGATCAGTAAGACATTCTCCCAAGGACAGGCAATTTGAAAAGGAACATCACTGGCACCTACCTTCTGAAGACAGTATCCGGTTTCCAGATACCTTGTTCGTTTCTCACTTTCATATAAGTGCCAAACAGCATGCAGTATACTGTTGCAGCAATTCCAAAATAATCTGTCTAAAGAACAGAAATTGGGATGTTTTAAAAACAAAAATTCATAGTATGTGGGGGTGAGAGGTTAAAGGTAAAGGTTCCCCTTGACATTTAGTCCAGTCGTGTCCGACTCTAGGGTGCGGTGCTCATCCCCGTCTCCAAGCCGTAGAGCCAGTGTTTGTCCATAGACCGTTTCCGTGGTCACGTGGCCAGTGCGACTAGACACAGAATGCCGTTACCTTCCCACCATGGTGGTACCTATTGATCTACACGCATTTACTGTACATGCTTTCGAATGGCTAGATTGGCAGGAGCTGGGACAAGCGATGGAAGTTCACTCCGCCACGTGGATTCAATCTTACAACTGTTGGTCTTCCAACCTTGCAGCACAGAGGCTTCTGCGGTTTAACCCGCAGCTCCACCACATCCCGAGAGATTAGGTACTCTTTAAAGCGTGGTGCACACCTTGCGTGTTATTATTTTTTAAAAGGCCTACCCTTCCACCCAGACAAATACAAGTATTTTGTCCCATCCCTTTCTATCCACAGAGACTGAACGTAGCTGACTGGCCAGGATCAACATATGGGCTTCTTTGTCAAGCTGGGATTTGAACACAGGGGTCTCCAATTTTAGCTCCAACGCTCTGGACTCACTTCACCACCCCTGGCCAATGCCACCTTGAACTTGCATTCATGAGAAGCTAAACTTGAAAGATAAGGCCTGCCTTTTCAAAAGGGGTGAACAGCAAGCAGGTCCAGATTTTAAAAAGATAGATTGAGAACCAACACCATTTGTTTCATTATTGTTTCCAGAGCCTGCCAGAAATTATTTACACTGCATAGTTCTCTAACAGTGATTCTCAAAATCATCTCCATTATCACAGACCATCACTTCAAATGGTGCAAAAGGCTGCACCCAGATCATTGGCCAGGGGCTGGTTACCACAATTGTGGGACCCCACCCCACCCTACCCTGTTATAATAGCTTCACTGATTCCCAGCTTGTTACAACTTAGGTCCAGGCTATCTACAAGACCATCTCTGCCTCGATCAGCACCACATGTATTAAGATCCCCAAGCATGTCTGCTGTGGTCCCAAAGAGATGTCTTCTTCTTCTGTGGCTGCTCCCACCTTACAGAAGACCCTTGCTCAGGAGGTGTGGTTGGCCCATTCTCTCCTCTCCTTCCACATCAGCAGGTGAAAACATACCTTTTTAGAGAGGCCTTAAGGGAGCCAGGAGTCAATTGAGACGAGGTCTTCTTACATTTAAGGTTTTTAAATAATGTACAAAATTGTTTTTGTACAACTACACACACAACTTGAGGTTGCAGCCATGGCAGCTGCACTAGTGCCAAGGCACAAGGATGATCCCTAAATCACTTCTACTGCCACTTTGCACAGTCAGTCATGGAGGGGATGCAGAACTGATTGCTCAATGGCAGAGCGCAATGCCTTGTTGCCAGATGTCACACCCAGCACATTTCCATCAGTTTAACTTTATGTTACACCTGCATAAAGAGGATGTTACCCAATATTTTAAATATGTACATCATATAGTTTTGAATCTTAATCAATTTATTTTAACTAATTGTTGATTTTAAATTTTTTTTCTTAAGTCAACATTAGAGGAGGAAGGTGGGATAAAAGTCAAATAAATTGGGGCATGTTAGGATTCTTGACAGTCCATCAAATAAATACCTGCTTTCAACAAACCATTGTACACGCATAACCTCATATTTTAACAGTTTTTATTTACTGCTGACTTGTTTATCAAACTTCATCAAGTGTCTTAATTAAGAAAACCATAGGTCCCAAGCTGAACTCTTGAAAAAGGTCCCTTGAACTGGCAAAATCCCTAAAATAATCATTACAGTGGTGCCCCGCATAGCGAGGTTAATCCATTCCGGATTAACCCTCGCTATGAGGAAACATCGCTAAACGGGACACAAAATGCCATTGGAACGCATTAAACTTAGTTTAATGCGTTGCAATGGTTTCTATACTCACCATTAAGCGAAGTTTCCTTATAGTGCCGCCATTTTCACGCCCTTGGTAAGCGAGGGCAGGGCGTGAAAATGGTTGCGGCGGCCACTTTGGGTCGTCCAGCGGCCATTTTGGAGCCGCCGAACAGCTGATTTCCCGGCGTCGCAATGCGAAGATTGGTAAGCGAAATGCTTACCGATCTTCGTAATGCGAGTTTTGGCCATAGAGGCCATTGGTAAGCGATCGCATTAGCAATCTCAAAAAAGAGATCGCTATGCGATTTCGTCGTTATAAGGTGCGCTCGTTAAGCGAGGCACCACTGTATGTGGCATCAAGGCTTACTGCATTTCTGTACAGTGGAGAAGCAAGCTCCTGACTCTGCAGCCAGGTACTCTGACGAGGTATGATTAGAGACTGCACTAGGGCTGAATTATAAAGCTCATACATCCTAAGCTATGACCTGGTTAGTCATTTTAGTAATCAGTCCCTGTTCCAAAAGGATCTCGATCTCGATCGTTAACTGCAGGCCCTGATATGTTCTTAGCTTGTGTAGAACATCTAAGCAAAGGTCAAAACGCATCAGGTTTCACAAATCAGTTTTGGAAAATCTCAGTTTTGTCTAATGACTAGGCATGAAACTCTCCCTGGAAGTACCTGATAATTCCATGGCTTCTGTGTCATCATTTCAATGCATTGAAATCCAGATGTTTTGCACTCCCCAGTGAATACAGTTCCCTCAGGAAACAGGCTCATGTCTATGCTTTGGCCGAAGTCAATGAGCGCCAAGCCATGAGACGTGCCGTCAATGTCACAGGTATCATTGTCCAGAAACCTTTGTGTTACAGAGAAGTTGAACGATTGTTAACACAGAACAGTGCAAAAAAAGAAAAAGAAAAAACAAATTCCAAAAGAAACAAGCCTACACCTCAGAAGTGAAAAATACTTGCCTTTCGCCAAAAACGAAGTTATCAGGTTTAATGTCCCCATGAATTATCCCACACTTGTGCAGCTCTTCTATCATGTGCAGAATTTTTATGGTGAAGTAGAGGGCGAGAGCTTGGGGCATCACCTTTTCTGTCAACTTTTTGTATATGTTTATGGTGTTCTAAAATGGGAAAAAAGTATATGTATACAAGTAGACAGACCAAGGAACGGGGATGCAATCATATCTACATTTCCCAAGAGGTACATAAGCCCCTTTGACTACAACATGGCTTTCAAGTAAACATGCGTACAGTTAAATTACAAAACTAGATTTTGGTGGGAGCATCTCCTGTGTAAACCCAACTAAAATGAATAGAAGCTGCTCCTGAAATAGGTAGGTATTCACTCACTCACTCACTCACTCACTCACTCATTCTCTCACTCCCTCTCTCTCTCACACACACACACACACAAAAGAGGGAGAAATGATTGGTCCTCCAGATGACTTGGCTTACAATGTGCTCTATGCGGTGCCGCCTATGGAAAATGTCAGGAAATGTGGGTCCAAAACACTGCAGCCAAATTGCTAATGCAGGCTGGTTACAGGGATCACAAAGTTACAGCAGTTCCACTGGCTGACCATCCATTTCTGGACACAATTCGAAGTTCTAGTTTTAATCTATAAAGCCCTAAATGGCTTAGGTCCAAGCTACCTCAAGGACCACATCTCCCGTTAAGAGCCTGCTTGGGAGTTAAGATCATCAGGAGAGGATTTTCTTTTGTTCTCCTCACCTTCACCAGCTACGTTTGGTGGGAATACAGGAGATGACCTTCTCCACTTCTTTCAAACTTTGGAACTCACCCCCCAGGAGGCCAGCCTGGTCCCATCTTTGCAAAGTTTCTCTTAAGTGACTGGCTGCCTGAATGGGGTTTTTTAATGGATCGTTGTGCCTTACAGCTTTGGATGTGTTTTTAGTGTTGCTTTTGCTTACTAAGAGTGGTATTTGCTTGATCCTTTTTGGTATATATATATACTTATCATTTTAACCTTTAAATAATGTCTTTTAATAATGTAAGCTGCGGTTTCAAAATGGCCGCCGGGTAAAAAAATTGGTCACCCGCTGTTTTCTGGGAAGGATTCCTCGCTGCACGGGCAGCGAAAATGGCCGCGCTATGGAGGATCTTCGCTGGATGGTGATTTTCAAGCCCATAGGAACGCATTAATCAGGTTTTAATGCATTCCTATGGGCTTTTTAAAATCGCTTTACGATGTTTTCATTCTACAGCGTTTTCTCCGGAACGAATTAACATTGTAATGCGAGGCACTACTGTACAACAGACTTGGTATACCTCTTTAAAAAGAGAACAGTTTGGAAATGACATGCTAAAATTAACGTATTAACATTAAATGTGTTACTTTCTTCCAACCAAAATAAAGCTTTTTCAATGCTCCGAAAATAGCATCTGAAAAGTAACGTTAGGAAGAGTTTTATGAATTAAAACTGTTTGGGCATTCCTTCTCTAGAGTGCACATGTCTCTTCCGTTTTCAAAAGGAAAGAGGCCTCTGGCACCTTTCAAAAATTAAAATCTATAATAGGCAGTTCAACCTTGGCCCTATAAATGGATTTGGACCCTAACAGTCAGAAGCCTTTGCTAGAATTGTCACAAGTCTACAGAGTTTCTCAGGGCTTTTGCTGTAAGGTTATCTGGAGTGTAGTTTATTGCAAAAACTACACTGTTGAGTCTCAAGTGGCCAGAAAGAACAGCATTCAAAATATAACAGTTTTGGAGTCAGAAGTCAGCCTACTGCACTATAGCTTTTGCATTGGGGGGGGGTCATTTCTTCACCAGTAGAGATTTTGTTGGGGGGGGGTGGGTTTCATATTAATTATCCCATTTTGTGTTTGTTTTACGTAAACAGGCAATCTTGCAACTAGCGGTGGCAGAATTAGCTTAATTGCACCTTCAGCAATAAGCCAGGGTTCCAATCTAAAGAGGTTTTTAAAGGAGGGGCCAGGGAAATAATCCCAGCTTCGCCTCACACAGAGGCCACTGAGTTGTGGTTTCCCTCCAAATAGCATTATAAATGTATGTTTGGGAGGTCAACAGCACTTTATCTTTTCAGCTCTGACTTTGTACTGAGAATCGGATGCAAGAGGGACCAGTTACCACAAACTCAGTAGCTCCCTTTGTATGAGGCAGGAAGATCTCTGAGACCAGCTTTGTTTAAACCTACGTTTTCTTAAAGTGTCATAGTAGAAAAGTATAATTAAAATGATCCTGTTTGTTCTTCATAGAGCAGTTCTGCTTGAAAGCCTTAGACTCTTCACTGCTACAAAGCCCTGAGAAGTGCCATAGGATCTTAACAATTCTAGCTTCCAGGTACAAGACCGAGGTTAGTACAGAGTGTAAATTTACTCTGGGATGGGAGACAGAAGCCTCTTTCCTTCAGAGGGTGTAAATGAAATGCCCCTTCTAAGAGGGACATTAGCTTCCAAAAGTTAAACGCATCATTTTTCAATGTTCATGGCAACAACGTCCAGCATTTAAATTTAACTCATTTTTAACCTAACTTTCCAAGTTCTGAAAAACACAATACTTACCAGTAGAGTCCCATAACTGTAGAGCTCCCCAACTAAAATGCTTCCATTGTGGAAGAAGTGAGCAGAATAGAAGTGGATGAAAAGATGGCGTAAGCTTGGCTTCAGCCTTTCCGTCAGCTGAGCTGCTATATAGAATTCCCAGGGGTTCCCAGGCTTCTGAAGCTACAAAACAAAAAGATGCGTTCTGCAGATAAATGCACAGAAGCAGCTATGTTAATCACTCTCAAGAAAATTATAAGTGAAAACCAGGAGGGTAAACTCATTTGTCCGTGTCTCTTTTCCAAATCTGCTCCTCTTGAGATGTGCCGGATAACAACCCCCAGACATTCATCACCTCGGCTGGAAACAATGGGAAATGTAGCTCAACACATCTGGAGGGGACCAAGTTGGAGAAAGCTAGTCTAACCAGCATTCCTCTAGGCCAGTTCGCCACTTTATTTTATTCTAACAAGCATAAATAAGGAGATAACAGGACCATATATTGGTGGACTCTGAACAGCATGGCATTAATAGGCCCCCTGCCTCTGACTTCATGCCAAGGGAGAACCGGGATGTAGAGGCTCTACCGTACAGCTGGCCAAAGTGTGGCCCATCCAGATGTTGCTGGACTTTACCTCCCAGCAACTCTGTGATCATAACCAGTGATGGAGCTGGCCCAACAACAGAGTTGAACTACTATACTTCAGTTTGCCCTTCTCCTATCTGACCGTCCATGCCCATAGATTCTGTGAATGGTCTGACCTGCTGTTCAGGGCAAGAAAGATGGAAACTCGCTTGTGCTCATTTGAGGGTTGGGAGTCGGGGGGTGTCAATCCAGGCATCATGTTTGGGACCACTACCTTCACAGCCTCTGATCCTGTTGGATCTGGGAGTTTAAAAGTCCAAAAACATTTCAAGGGCCCACCGTTTACAATAAAAGTTGTACCTTGCTGTATCTAGGTCTGGCATTTATCTGAAATCTGGGAGTGGGGGTGGGGGAACACAGATAAGCAGGTTATGTAGAACAGCAGAAAGAGAACCGCAATTCACAGAATTTTAATGATGACGGGATAGGAGTATCTCCCTTAATATGATTCCAGGACCTTACTGTTTGTGGACTGTAGATTGTATCATGCAACATTTTGATCCATTACTATTCCTAGTCTTAAACCTAGAACGTCTGATAGCCTGAGGA